AGTTCTATTATGTATTATGTAGTAAAAAAAACATTCGTACTTTATTCAGTTCAACATGGCCTTAGTTAAATGGTCTAATCTAATTTGTTGTTCATTGCTGAATATATTGATGGGCACAATTACATAGTGAACTAAATTTATTACTTATGGCTAATACCAACCTCATAACACAGAATATGATAGACAACAAGAAGAGTTAACCTTTCTTGTTATCACAACTCAAATAAATGTTAAGTAACATTACACTAAACAACAACTTCATGGAGAAAGTATCATAAAAATTACGTTTTTCAATTTAGGCTCGCGTAAAATCTAACTAAAACCAAATAAGGTTGTTTATTTTATCCATTTATAATCGATTCGAACTTGTTACAGTGTTTCTCAATCAATTGTCAAGTGTATCAAGAAAGAAATGATTCTTAGCTTCTATATGACGAAACGTATACCGTTAGTGTGAGAAAGCTGATTCTTGTCTTCTCATAACATTGCACACACCCTGGTAAGATAACAGAACATAAATAGCTCGTATTATCACTTATTCAAACAATCATAGTCCCGTTAGCAAAAAAGAAACGATGATAGTAACTACGAACCCTTGTAAAACTAAATAACCAATAAAACACATTATAAATTATTGACTTTTTATACTTATCCTATTCCAAATATAATCATCCAATTAGTAAATTACAAAAAAATGATGGTACTTTTGCAGCTTATTCTTTAAATGAAAAACTTAACAAACAGCAAAACAGTTCTAAATAATTATTTCATATTTAATTGGAGAAATTATAAAATATTCTCCACGTTGTATATACAAGCTTGAAATTTGTTATGATTTTTCTTTTCATTAACATAATGCACGTCAAATGATGTTCGAATATGATCATACCAATTCTTTTGTCACGCAAAAATACGGTATTAGCATTCTGGCTGCATCTTATACATTCAATAAGAATTTGTCTGAAGCCAGTAAAAAGTGAGCCACCGGAATAGGCGACGTATTTATTCTAAAACTGTCCTAAACAATGTTGTCTAGAGACTTAATGCGAATCAAATTTCGATTTCTTTATGGAATATATAATGAAAATTTCTTTCGTGACAGAAAGACACTTTACAAGGTTATTTTCTCGCAACTATATAACTCATTGTGACATTGTACAATTATTACCATATGACCCTCATCAACTAAATTTTCTTTCTACCGCTTTATATTTAACTAATACAGCTTCAACTGTGTCTGAAAACAATGAAAGCTTTCGTAACAGTTCTTATGAAAGGATTTCGTATGAGATAAGCTACGACCTTGATACAACACATGACACAATAAAAGTCCACATGATCACCTCTTATCTTTACCATCACTTATCCTTTTAACAGCTGAATGAGAAACACTATTCGAATGATAACTGAGATTCTTTTTCTTTCCATATCATTCTAGATAAGTCAAATCATTATGTGCTTGTCAAGTGATATAGCAAAATTAAACTTTATCTTTGCATACTATCATGACCATGCGAAACTTATAACACCTATATAAATGCACATAGTTGCTTCGTTTCTAG